TATATACATATATAAACATATAAATAGAATCTAGAGATATTTACGATTTATTATATTTTATTTTGCCTCTTCATTTACCTAATTCATTATGAACGATAGAGTCGGTCTGCACTCGTTCAGATGATTTGTGTGTTTCGCATGCTACTAAAACAGGAACATTAAAGGCTTTCGCCATTAAAGCAACTTGTGCCGTTCCTACTCTTGACATTACTGCTCCGTTAGCTAATATCGCATGGGCACCTAGAAAAACTTTACTGACCTAGACAAGTAAAATTATAAATCAGCTTCATAAATAGAAATTAAAAAATAAAAATAGATATTTAAAGAATTTATATATTTTCACATTTGTTCTCAAATCTATATTTAAAACAAAGAGAAGTTGTACATTTATATATGTAAAATTATTCAGTTTTGTAAATATTGAATAACTTCCTAATGCACAAAATCTATTTTTGAGACATTTATGAATTAAACAAATTTTTAGAAATAAATTCTTCAATTCATTGTGAGCATAATTATTTACTTCTGGCATAATGAAGCTGAGAGCATTGATTAGTATATATGAACATTCAATCCCGTGTTTCGCTAAACGTCTCAGCTGTTCTTTTCCTTCTAGCCATGGTCTACCATCGACTACAACCACACGAAACTGCTTGCCTGCAGCATGTGCCTCCACTAATATTTTGTGAATTAAGGATGAACTGAAATGTATTTTATTTTCAGAAACAATATTCTGTTATATGCCTTTATCTATAAAATTTATAAAATTCATATAAATATATAAATATAGAAATAAATATACTATTATATATCTTAGAAATAATAAAATTCTTCAAAAAAAGAAAATTTAATTTGTGGGTTATACTCTATAAATAAAATCATAAAATATACTCACTAGCCATATGTTAAAATAACATTTCCATCCGATATTTTACTTTGTATTGTTAACGATATCGCTTTGTCAGCCAACTGAATTTGTTCCGAGATATAAGTGTCTATTATTCCTTGTAATTTATTTTTTGCCTGTAATACATCATATTCAATAAACTATTAAGTCAGTAACTACAAGAGACTTAAATTAAAAGAACATGTAATTCACAAATTCTCTTAAATTCCCCTTTATTTCTTATATTTTTTCTTATTATATACATATATATTTAATTCTTTGATTTATACAAGTCAGACAGATTTGTATAAAAGAATAATTTGTAGAAGAATAATTAAATTAAAAATATAAATATATGATAAGAATAAAATGTTACAAAATTATTTACTTTTTCGTCCGATAATGTAGATGAAAACTGTGTCATCTGCCACGTGAGGTGGCGCATAGCATTATGCATTGAGACGCCCAATGGTCTACAATGACAAAGATACTTCAGCGATTCTTTCAAGTTTGCTTCGAGACCACGTATGAAATCTTCATGTATTGGCTTTTCGAAATCCTGGATCACCTGTTTAACAGCAGCTAAAAGTGCGACACATCTCGCATTACTACCAACGATAACTTTATTAGCATACTGAACACCTAGTCTAACTATCGCTGGATGTATATTTGAGTTTACTGTGGCAATATTGAATAAAGAACGCTCTCTTTCTTGATATAAGTGTTTAAATAAATTAACAGTATGCGCATTCTCCCTCACTACATTATTCATGACACTTTTCTTCACTGGACATTCGGATATAGTTTCTACATGTGATTTGAAGGATTCCTCACTTTTTATATTATTCTTTGCTAACTGTTGTTGCTTGGCAGCTCTCTGAGCCTCTTGCTTAGCTCTTCGTTCTGCACGAAGTTCAGCCTTGCTCTTGCCATCATTTTTATTTTCGGATGCATTGTTTTGGACATTTGAAGATTGAATTGCATTTTTCTTCAAGACTGTAGATGATGAAACTGTTGCATCTGTTACTACATTTGCTTTTGTATTTTTTTCTAAGATTTCACAGTCTGCTATTGCAGATTTACATTTAATTTTAATATTTCCTGTTTCTACTATTTTATTATTTTTTTCTGCTGCTACATCTGCTCTTGCATCTTTTGTTGAGATCTTACAATTGGCTGGTGCTACATTTTTGGCATTGTCTACCTTATTAATCTTTGCCACCTTAGCAGCAATTTTAGCAGCCTTCTTTGCTTCGCGTTCCGCTTTGATTTCTTCTCTTGTTTTTTGCGAGAGATTCGGCTTCGAGTTTGATAAAGACATGTTTGTCCGTCTTCCTTGTTATAATTAACGATTGTATATCTTTAAATTCTTCCTTTTTTCGAGGTTTCGTTCTCTCTGTTGTTGAATATTTATGAACATCTGTCAGAGACTTAAAACACTATCCATCAATAACTTCAATAAACATAAATAAACACAGTAAAAATGTTTGTATGTAGATTTCAATCTTGATTGTGCGACGTATTGTTGCATCAGAGCTGATGAAAAACGACGATTCGTTTTGGCAACGATAACTTTTGTCCGATCAGCTTAAGACTTCAAGTAGCAAAATTAGTAAATTATATAATTTAATAAATTGCACAAAAACAAACTATTTAATCTCCTCTTATTTAATTATTTTCACTGGTCTAAATCGAACTCAAACTAATTAAATATTTTCGTATTGGATACTTGAATCTCGTGAATTTCGAGCATACGCTAAACACATGTTCACAAACATAGACGTAATATATATAGACTTGAGTCTCAAAGGAGAAAGAAATCGCGAGTAGCCGAACTGTGAATCAGATCGAGTTTTCGCGCATGCGTGACGAAAATAGAAGAATAAAACGATATGTGATAGATGATTTTAACGTTCCATATCTAAAACAATATTTATGATTTTAAAATTTTACATAAAAATAGAAAAATCGGAGAAAAAAGAGAAATAAGTTGAAAAAGAGAAAAATGAAATATAATTGAGGTTTTGGTAACTAATAATAACAATTGGTAATTAATTTTTTCGTACTGTAATAAATTCTTGTATATATATATATATATATATATATATCTTTTTATCAATAATTCTTGCGTATCTTGGATATATGTA